CCATGGTGTTGGATCAATGTGAGTATTCCAACTATAGAAAAAGTGGCCAGGCGGTGGTGGCGCATGCCTTTAATCCCGGCACTTGGGAGGCAGAGGCAGGTGGATTTCTGAGTTCGAGGCCAGCCTGGTTTACAGAGTGAGTTCCAGGACAGCCAGGGCTACACAGAGAAACCCTGTCTCGAAAAACCAAAAAAAAAAAGAAAGAAAGAAAGAAAGAAAGAAAGAAAGAAAGAAAGAAAGAAAGAAAGAAAAAGAAAAAGTAGAAATACAAACAGACATTGGAAGACCTGTTCCTAGCAATCTTTCACATTAGCCAAGTCATGGAAACCAACTGCATATCTGTCAATACATAGATAAATACAATATGATATAGACATGCAATGGAATGTCACTTGGGATTAAAGCATCATGGAATTCTGACACATTAGATAATACAGATACCCCTGTAAACACCATATTGGATTGGGTAGGATAGCCCATACCTGCCTGCTGCTCTGGCACTTGGGAAGACAAGACAGGAGGTTTGGCATAAGTTCAGGGTTACCCTGGTCTACAAAGTGAAATTAAGACCAAACTGGACTTCATTTGCGGTGGTTGCCTTCGGTTCTTTGGAACTGAAATGTCATAAACAATAAAGCCCACAGTGGCTTCCCAGGTTTGTTTACCATTACGGTTTGAATGTTGTAACCGCATAACATTTATGTGCCAAAGTCACTACCAAGGTGACAATCATATTAAGAGGTGGGACCCTTGAGGGTGCTTTGAGGGGAAAGGGCTCAGCAGTTAGGAGCATGTACAGCTTTTGCAGAAGAGCTGGATTCAGTTCCCAATACCCATGTCAAGGCACTCCCAGCTTCAGGGCATGTGACATCCTCTTCTGGATGCTTGGCCATTGCCCATACTTGTGCATGCATGCATGTGTGCATACACACACACACACACACACACACAAATAAATCATTTGAGATTTACAAGTGTGTCTCGTGCCTGGCTAAGTTTCTGTTCCTGTTGTTTCCTTTTCAGCTTGGTGTTTTTGTTTCATTTTCTTTTTCTTACACACACACACACACACACACACTTGAGACAAGCTTTCCACTCCTCACCACCATGCTGACCTTGAACTGAAGATTCTCCTGCCTCAGCCTCCCAAATATTAGCATTACAGATATTACAGGTATTACAGGTATTACAGGTATGTGCTGCCACACTGCTCCTGTTATTTTCTTTAAAAAAATTTTTTTTTTAGATTGAGTGCTTTTCCTGCATGTATGTCTGTGTGCCATACGCATGCCTGGTGCCTGAGTGAATAAGTAGTAAGCCTCCATGTGGATGCTGGGAATCAAACTGGGTCCTTCAGGAGAACAAGGACTCTTAACCACTGAGCCAACTCTCCAGACCTGGGGTATCTTCATGATGGACTCACTCAGATAGCAAGACTTTTTCATGTATATATCCAAACTACAGGCTGTGTGTGGTAGAGCGATTTCAAGTGAGACTGTCCCAGCTGAGTAGGAGAGGTTCCATCAAAGTGATGATTTCCAGGACATATGAGATTTAGCCAAAGGATGAAGGAAGGAAAGGCCAATGGAGGATTGATCTGTGCCTTCAAAGGTCTAACCAGCCTGCATTTTGTTCAGTTTTGGTTTTCACGCCCACGGACCGAAAGTAGGTCCTTGCCCCCTTTCACTTTGTATCTGGGGACAAGACTTAACTGAATGGCCCAGGCTGATCCAGAATTCCCTCTGTAGCACCAGCAGTCTTTGACTTTGTCATCCTCCATCGTCCTGTCTCAACCTCTCTCTTTTTTTTTTTCCAACATATTTTTATCGATTCTTTGGGGATTTCACATCATATCCACTTGTCACATTGCTTCCCAGTCCTTCCCTGTCCACCCCCGGCCGCCCTTGTGACCTGCCCCACAGGGGAAAAAGTTCAATTTGTGTTATTCACTGGAGCATGGTTAAACTCTGAGTAGCTTGCATCTTAAAGGGAGCTGAGTCCTTCCCCTGCTGAGCCCCTGCTGGAAGCCCTCTACTGGGGACACTTCAACAGCCTCTCACAGTTTGTAAGGGTTCCTTCCATAGCTTCCTATTTAGGCTGTCACTATTTTGGGTGGGGCAGAGAAAGTCTTCCATGTCCCTCTCCCTCTTTTTTTTTTTTTTGGTTTTTACTAGACAGGGTTTCTCTGTGTAGTCCTGGCTGTCCTGGAACTCACTCTGTAGACCAGGCTAGTCTCAAACTCTCGAACTCAGAAATCCACCTGCCTCTGCCTCCCAAGTGCTGGGATTAAAGGCGTGCGCCACCACCGCCCGGCCATGTCCCTCTTTCTCAACTGTGCTTTTACAGTCATCAATATCACTGACAAAGTAGCTTATTTGCTCTTTATGGTCCACAAGAACATGGATCATGGGTTTCTACATGGTTTCTGTTGTCAACACAGACCACAAACAGGGCTCCCAGTAGCAGCAGGGCCTCTGATCCAGACAAGCCCCTCTAATGTTGCTTCAGTCTGTAGTATAGACCACGGACATCTGCCAGACCTTTGGCGGCAACAAGGGCCATGAACACCAACACAGACCCGGCCACAGCAAAGCCACAAAGCCACATAAGCTCCTCAGTAGCATTACGGCCCCAGGCATCAGTATGGTCGCAGGTGGTAGTGCACGCCACCCACATCAATGTGACCCTCCAACAGCAGCATTGCCACTGACAGCAACATGGCTTCAGGTTGCAGCACAGACCACGGATATGTGGGCCAGCATATGTGTTTAGTACACGTGAAGCTCTGGGTTAAATCCCTACCCACATACTGTACCCACATACAGAGACATGAAGACAGAGGGCTGTAATGGTATTAGAAAAAGTTCCATCTTTTACCTCGTTGAGGCAGGGCCTCTCTCATTTCTACAGATAGTGTGTACTCTAGGCTGGACAGACCCAAAGTTTCAGAATGTTTCTCCTGTCTCTGTTTCCAGTCTTGCCATGGAAGTGCTGGGATCACAACTTCAAGCCACTGCATCCGGCTTCTGTCGTTTGTTTTTGAGACAGGAACTCACTGTGCATCCCTGACTGCTCTGGAACTCACCATGTAGCCATGAAGCTGGCCTTGAACTCAGAGATCCACCTGCCTCTGCCTTTTAGTGCTGGGATTTAAGGCATGTGTCACCATACTGAGCGACATCCAGCTTTTATGTGGGTTCCACTGATGGAACTGGGGTCCTCAGACTTGCACAGCTAGCACTTTTATATGGTGAGCCATTTTTTCCCCAGCCCCAGAAATCCAACTCTAAAACATGAAATAGTGTTTCAAAATACAATGGACCTAGGACAACTTCAGCTTCACTTGAAAAAAAAAATATATATATATACATATGTATATATATAATTAAGTATTCAAATTACCAACTAACAAGCATGTATTACTGGTATGATTTCATTTTGCTAATCCATTGGGATTATAAAAATTTATTTTAGAATGCTTGGCAGGGGCTGGGTGAAGCCTCTGGTAGAGTGTGTGAGATCATGGGACAGAGAAACTAAGATAATTTTGTTGGTTGTGGTTTTATTTCCTTTTCCTTTTTTTTTTTTTTTTTTTTTTCTGAGACAGGGTTTGCTCTGTGTAGCCCTGGCTGTCCTGGAACTCACTCTGTAGACCAGGCTGGCCTCGAACTCAGAAATCTGCCTGCCTCTGCCTCCCAAGTGCTGGGATTAAAGATGTGCACCACCACTGCCCGGCTTATTTCCCTTTTCTTGTGCATTTCTTTTGGGTTTTGTTTGATTTGTTTTGTTTTTTTGGTTTTTTTTTTTTTTTTTTTTTTTTGAGACAGGGTTTCTCTGTGTAGCCCTGGTTGTCCTGGAACCTGCTCTGTAGACCAGCATGGCCTCCAACTCAGAGACTCATCTGCCTCTGCCAACCGAGAGTGGGGATTAAAGGCAAGCGCCACCACTGCCCGGCTTTTGTTGTTGTCTTGTTTTGTTTTTAAGGAGGGGGAACATGACATAAAACATTTTGCAAGGCTCAAGTGGCAGCCCTGTCTGAAGCCTTCTGAAGTGATTTCTGGGAGACAGACACTATCCTCCCTTTCCTTCCTCAGCTCTGTAACCCAGACTGGAACTCTCCATTACACCTTGGAGTTCCTCTGGAGTCTCTCATTTCAAAGCAGCAGGGCTGACAGCCAGAGACATTAATGGAGGCAGGTGTCTGTGCCCCAACTACCAACGCCCTCAGAGGGTCTGGCCTAGCACTCACTACTCGGCCCACAGCCAGGGCCAGGCCGACAAGTCCCTGGCCAGAACTGCTGGTGAGCCAGGAACCTGGAGGTGGCAATGATCCCTGCTTTTCTTTCATTCTCATCCCAGCACTTGAGAGGCAGAGGCAGGCGAATTTCTGAGTTCGAGGCCAGCCTGGTCTACAGAGTGAGTCCCAGGACAGCCAGGGCTATACAGAGAAACCCTGTCTCAAAAAAAAAAAAAAAAAAAAAAAATCCTGCTCTCCCGCGTGCAGGATTTTATTGTGGTCTAGGCAGGACTCAAGCTCACCAAAGGGAACCAAAGATGATCATGAACTCACCTGTGTTTCCTTTTTTTTTTTTTAATTCTTTTTTTTTTTAAGATTTATTTACTTATTACATATGAATATACTGTAGCTGTTTTCAGACACAGCAGAAGAGGGCATCAGATCTCATTACGGATGGTTGTGAGCCACCATGTGGTTGCTGGGATTTGAACTCAGGACCTCTGGAAGTGCAGTCAGTGCTCTTAACCACTGAGCCATCTCTCCAGCCCTCGCCTGTGTTTCCTGAGGGTGGGATTATGGGTGGCATGGGCCTAGTGGTTTCCTCCTCTCCTCCTCTTTTCTTCCCTTCTTTTCTTAACTTTTAATTTAATTTTTGAGAGAGGGTCTTGCTGTGTAACCTTGGCTGACCTTGAACTCATAGCAGTTCCCCTGGCTCAGGGCCCTGAGGGCTGGGATTACAGATGTTGAGGCAACAACACACACATCTGGCCACAGGCCTTAATTTTATTTTCTCTGAAATAACTGTGAAAATAGACTCTAGGAAGAAAAGATGAAACTTGCTGGGTAAACGAAATTAAAACTTCCCATTTTTTGCAAGAAGAGTTGGCTAAATATAGTCCCTGCTGGCAGTGTAGCACCCGGAAAGGATCCTGCTTAACTCCCACTGAGGCCGCAGCCCCAGCCAGTCCCAGTCTCCCGCTTCCAGCCATCCACCTAGTCCTTTTCGGGATCCAAACCCTGGTTGTTGTTATCATTATCAACATCGACATTGTCACTGTTGACATCATCGTTGTCATTGTCAACATTGACGTTGTCAACTTTGACTTTGACTTCGTCGACATCATCGTCATTGTCGTCGATAATATCATCGTTGTTGTTGTCGTCGTCGTCATCATCATAATTGTCAACATCGTCATTGTCGTCAACATTGTCATCATCATGATAATTGTCTTCATCATCGTAATTGTCAACGTCTTCGTAGTTGTCATAATAACTGTCATAGTAGATGTCGTCCTCGATGTCTTCATCCTCCTCGATGTACAAGTAGTCATCCTCTTCTATCTCCTCTTCCTCTTCTTCGACTCTCTCTTCTTCCTCTTCTTCCTCCTCTTCTTCCTCCTCTTCTTCCTCCTCCTCCTCCTCCTCGTACTCCAGAGTGCGGAAAGGGCTGGGCTGGTGTGAGGATCGCAGGGCTGGGATAGGCGAGCGCAGGGCTGCAAAGGGCCCGAAGTGCTCGGCGGCGAAGGTGACCACGTCTTCCGGCCGGCGGAGCAACAGGAACAGCAGGAAGTCGGAGATCAGCGCTTGGGCCTCGGGGTGCTGCCGCAGATAGCTGGTGTGGCTGTGGCGCAGCTGCTCCTGGCGGGGGCACAGGGCGGTCCAGCACCGGAGCAGAGCACAGCTCCGATTGGCCAGGAGCGCCTGGACATCCCCCACCCCCAATCATCTCCCTGATTCATGCATTTCGGCACTCCCGGTCCACAGTAGGACAGCAGATGGACCCCCAGGCCGCAGCCACTTCTCACCTTCCGGTCCAGGAATTTTGAGTAAAGCTCCAGATCTTCCTCCCACACCAGGGGCTTCTGATCAAACGTGGGCGGAGACTCAATCACATCTGAGTAGAGTGAGCAAGAGAACTGCTTACCCACCCCTCGGCAAACAGGGGAAGGAACTCTTAAGTAGGGCCGGGCAAAGTAGCTGAGAAGGACTAGTGTCAGAGGTCCCTTTTGAGTCAGGGGCAGGATTCAAGAATCCTGTCCCACCCCCTAGGGTTCCTTTCCAAACCAAACCAGAGGCCATGCTTCACCCATCTTCCCTTCACTGCTCCATCCTGCCCTGGGCCACTTACCCTCCTCCCTTATGAGGGGCATCTTGGTGATGATGCAACATCCTGGAGAGCCCACCTGAACTCTCTTAGCCAGGTGCCTGCAGGGCAGTACAGAGGTTGTGGAGAGAGACTGAATGGTACTGAGCACGACGAGCGGTGGCTCCCACTGCCGCCCCCAAGTGTAAAGAAAGTCTTCTGGGAAATGACTAAGGTCAATTGACTTGAATAACGGTGGGGCTCCAATCAGAAAGGATTGGCATCCTCAGAACCGAAAGAGAAAACAGAGAAAGCTGTCTACAGAGCTGTTTCCCCACTGGCACACTGAAAAGAGCCAGAGCCCTGAAGATGGCAGCCAGACAGCTCCCCAGAAACCAACCCTGCTGGCCACTTGTTTAAAACATCCAGTGTTTTTTTTTTCTTCAACATTAATTTATCCTGTGTGCATGTACACACAGACACACACAGACACACACCATTCCCACGCTTGTGTGGAGGTCAGAGGACAACTTGTAGGAGTTGACGCTCTTTTTCTGCCAAGTGGGTTCTAGGAACTGAACTCAGGTCGTCAGATTTGGCCGCAAGTTCCCTCACTACCTTTCCAGCTGAACCATCCTTTGACTTGTATGCACCTTTTTGACCCTTAGACCTGGAGCCATCCTCCTGTGTCAGCTTCCTAAGTGCTCGAAAGATAGGTGTGAGTCCCTGTTGCGGCCTCATCTTGTAGTTTGTCATGGCAACTGAGGTAAGACACTGGGTGTCCCCATGAGAGCTGCCTGGGGGCCTATGTTTACTCTGCTTTCTCTCTTTATCTTTGTAGTTCTTGGGTCCTGTCCCCGGTAACAGCAGACATCATGCCTTGCCCAAAGTACATCTGTAATCCCAGCACCTAAGGTACTACTACAGCAGGAGGACTGTGAATTTGAGGCTAGCCTTAGCTCATTTTTTTTTTTAAGCAAATGAGATGGGCAAAGCAAAGGTGTACCCAGATCTCACTGACAACGTTTCTGGCAGCATCCTGGGAATAATAGCGACTCCTGTGCCCTAGTCCACGCCACGAACATCTTTTCTTCATGTTCAGAGCTCCCATACCTTACACGGTCCTCCCCACAAGTGGCTCACCCATCAGAGAGCAAGTAGAATTGGCAGGAGAAGGGGATGCCCTCTTCAGAGTGTATGGTTTGCTCCACGATGAACATTTCAGCCTGCTGGTTGCCCACGTGGATTGTCTGGAAACCCAGGGATTTCTACAGCAACCAAAGTGGAAACTATGGTGAGGTGTTTGCCCACCGTGGTGTCCCCATCTCCTCAAGCCCTTTCCTTCTCTTCAGGTCTTCATTCCTGCACACCACTGGTAACTTAGAGCTTAGCTATAAAATTACGTGCCACAAAGTAGTTGTCAGGATATGTTTGGGACTTCTCACAGTTAGTCCCTGTCACCCCCTTCTCAAGCTATCTCGATGGAGGACTGCTGCTAGCTGCACCCTTTGTTACAGGGAGGCTCAGTGTGGGGAGCAAGATGCTGAACAATGAGAGAGACCCTGTCTCAAAAAACAGGTGGACAAAGCTTTTAAACACCTGAGGGTTGACCCCTGTCCTCTAGGAGCACAAAATGTATATACATTTGTCTGAGCGCATGTGTGTGCACACACTACATGCACAAATACACAGAAAGTCAGGGGTGCCAGCCAAGTGTGGAGGTGGACACGTGTAATTGCAATGCTAGCATTTGGGAAGTTGAGACCCTACCATGACAGAGTGAGTTGCGGGATGGACAGGGCTACACAGAGAAACCTTGTCAGAGAAGAAGGGGCTAAGACCAGTTTGGGCCACAACAACAACAAAACACAGCCGGGTGGTGGTGGCCCACGCCTTTAATCCCAGCACTTGGGAGGCAGAGGCAGGCGGATTTCTGAGTTTGAGAGTTCGAGGCTAACCTGGTCTACAGAGTGAGTTCCAGGACAGCTAGGGCTACACAGAGAAACCCTGTCTCGAAAAACCAAACCAAACCAAACTAAACCAAACCAAAACAAAACAAAACAAAAAAACCAAAAACACTTTGTTGAAAAAAGAGGGGCGGGGAAGGCTAGAGAGATGGCTCAGCTGTTAAGAGCACAGGCTGCTCTTCCAGAGGACCTGAGTTCAATTCCCAGCATCCACGTGGTAGTTCACGTTTGTCTCTGGCTCCAGTTCCAGGGGACCCAACACCTTCACACAGACACGTATGCAGGCAAAACACCAATGCACATAAAATAAAAATAAATAAAATTTAAAAAGAGTGTTTAAAAACAATAAATTATTTCTTTAAAAGAGGAAAAGAACAAAAATCTGTATCTTTGGACTAAAGTGTAGCTCAGTGGTGAAACATTCGTCTCACTTTCAAAGCCCTGGATGGCAGATGATTTGTTGTTGTTGTTGTTGTTGTTGTTGTTGTTGCTATTTTTGGTTAAGACAGGATCTTATGTAGCTCAGGCTAGACTTGAACTAAATAGGTAGCTAACAATGACTTTGAGCTCCCGGTCCTTCTGTTTTCACTTCCCAAGAACTAGAATTACAAACACATGACACCAGGCCTGACTTTAGATGGTGTGTGTGTGCATATGTGTGTGGTGTGTGTGTGTGTGTATGCATTCATGCAGGTGTATATGTGTTCATAGGTGCACATGTGTGTGGGTGTTTGGCTTGCATGTGCATGTGTGTGAGTTCCTCAGGAGCTATCAATTTTATTTGAAATTTTTATTTTTATGTATATGAATGTTTTACTTACATACATATATATATATACATATATATATATATGTATATATATATATACATATGTATGTAGATCTCTTGGAACTTGAGTTACAGAAGGTTGTAAGCTGCCATGTGGGTTCTGTGAGCTGATCCTGGGTCTTCTGCAAAACCAGCAAGTGCTCAGAACAACTGAGACATCTCTCTGCCCTCACTTTGGCTTTGGGACAGGCTCTCTCACTGGGTCCTGAGGCTACCTGATGCATCCAGGCTCTCTTTACCTCCACAGTTCAGGGATTATAGGTGTACAACACTCACATGAGCTTAGGGATCAAAGTCAGAGCCTCATCTTGCACCACTGAGCCTCTCTCCAGCCTTAGAAGGCGTGTGGTTAGAAATCAGGCTTCCATGATATTCTCTTGTGTACTGACCTTTGTGCAAAGAAAGTTGCTTCCCACTTTTCCATTCCCTGCTAATCTCAGGTGCTCCATCCTCAAGCTTCCTCCTACCAAGTTCGTCTAACTGCTGTTGCCCCCAGTGTGCCTCATCTCACCCTCAGGACTTATACCCATTCCACCTTGGTTGCCACTTTCCCACATCACATCTGTCTTTCCCACCTCAGTGGCCTTCATAGCCCTTTAGTTTTCCCCAGGCCAATTCCTTTGCCCAGAGACAGTACTCACATAGGTGCAATGGCAGAGCTTGCCCTCCGAGTCCAAGGCTAGGAAGCGAGCCCCGCTGGGCACCGACTGCTGCCAGGCCATCACTCTCAGCAGCACCACATTGGTGGCACTGGAGACAAAGCCCTTGAGTGATTTACAGGGGAAAACAGAGACTCCAGTCTTCGTTTCCTGTTTGGGGCAGATCTGAGTCAGAGACTTGGAGTTCAGATGAGGCAGGAGGTGTTGGAGCAGGGTGTAGGGTGTCTAGTTACCTGGCCTCACACAGCTTGTCCCCGCTGCGGTCTGAGGATGTGGGAGGGGTTCCCACTTGGCTTTTACTCTTACCTCACCCTCCTTGACACTTCTGGTCACAACGAACTGGTCATCCCGCTTCAGGACACTCGTCTTCCTTTCCATGGGGAGGATAGGAAACTGAGGAACAGAGCACACAGGAGAATCACGTGCTTACCCTTGAGAGGCTAGCTCCCATCCTTTCTTCGATGCTGTTTGTCTGTAGTTTGTTTTTTTCTGAGACAAAATAGTTCAGAATGGCCTGGCACTCCCTATGTAGCCTAGGATAGCCTTGTGCTTGCAACAAGTCTCCTGCCTCAGCCTCCTAAGCATATGGATTATAGGCAAATGCAGTCAGTCCTACTTTTTATAAATAAAATAAGACAGAAGTCCCTGTCTTGATAAATAAAAAAGATAAAAATAAGACAGGCAAACATGCCGGGCAGTGGTGGCGCACTCCTTTAATCCTAGCACTTGGGAGGCAGAGGCAGGTGGATTTCTGAGTTCCAGGACAGCCAGGGCTACACAGAGAAACCCTGTCTCGAAAAACAAAAACAAAAACAAAAACAAACAAACAAAAACCAAACCCAAAAACCCAAAAATCAACCAAACAAAAAAAAGACAGGCAGGCAGGCAGGCAGGCAGACAAAAAGATGAACCAAAAGCCTCATAGCCTGGTGTGGTGGTCTAGCACTTGGGAGAGAAATCGGGGGTTCAAAATCATCCTCAATTACATACCAAGTTTGAGGCCAGTCTAGCTATGAGACTTCCTCAAAGAAGGAAGGAAGGGGAGGAGAAGGAGGAAAGGACACCTTCCATTTATGGTGGAGGTCAGAAATAGGCCCATAGTATGTAATAGGAAAGACGAACAGCTGTATACCTCAGAATGGAACACAGACTGGAAGCTGGGAACCGATTCTCTGAGGAGGCTGTTAGGCCCAAGTCATCTTTCATGTTTAGATAGGTCACGGCCCCATAGAGGAAGTTACTGAAGGGACTGGGTGAAGGGGATAGAGCCAGAAGATTTGGAGGCTAAACAGTGACAGGCTCTGGGAAAGGCCAGGTCCTGTGGCCCTGGGAAGTGGACCAGGCTTTTAGGCTGGAGGAGGCCTCAGTGGGCTGGGCTCAGTTTGTACATCCAGAAAACATCAGCAGCAGTACTGGAGGTGACTGACTGGTTATCAAACTGTATGTGGTGGAGGTTCAGGCTGGTGGTATACAGGAGTGTGATATTCTACTGGGCCCCTCCCACCCTCATAAGGCCTGTGTTCTTCTTACCCCAGAACAGGGGCAAGGCTGGGGGAGCTGGGAGTAAATACCTTGATGAACTCCTGACTGTGCTGCTCTATTAACTCCAGATTCTCGTTTAGGTAGCCTGAGGTACAGGAAGGCAAGTGCTGATGTCACAGGATGGACCCTAGGGAAGGGGCTGGCCCAGGCTGGTGCAATGTGGCCATGGGAAAATGACAGGGTGGTCAACACTGTTCTTGTCCTGGGTATGTGACTGGGAACCGCCTCCCCTCCCCCAGGCTTTACCCCTCCCAGGTAAGTCAAGGGATAATAAGGTCGTGAGTAAGGACCTATGGATTGGAATGGGGACTGTGGAGGGAAGATGTGAGGGACAAGCCAGCAGCTGGAACTTTACCTAGGAGGGAGCTTCCACATAGTGACTTGTCTAGGAAGCCACGGCTAGAGGCATGTACCAGCAGGCAGCCGGTCAGGATCCCCAGGTCGTCTTTGTACTTCCCCTTCTGTACTTCAATGGTCAACTCTCCCTGAGGTTCCCCTGTGTCTGAGAGGATGGCCAGAGTCTCCGGGAAAAACAGAAGCATATCCTCTAGCCCTGTGTGGTGCAGAGAAGCTCTCTCCAGGCCCAGCCTCTAGACCCCACACCACTCACTGGCCCCTTGCCATGTCTCCCTTTCCCAGCCAGCCCTGCCACTCCTTGTCATCACTGGGTGCCAACTGGTGAAGATCTCCCTGTGGGCTTGTCCCTCCATGTACCTTAGCAAATAGGTATCAGCTCTTTTCTGAATCTCAAGAGGATCAGGTGGAGAGAGAGGCCTACCTAGGCCTCCTCTCTTCCTTTGTCTGCCTTGTACCTCTCCTCCCCACGCCCACCACACCATCTGGCTCACGGAAGGAGTTGAGGAAGCTGATGGCTTCAGCATTGGCTTCTGGGAATGGCTGCTCCTGCTGCTGCTGTTGCTGCTGTTGCTGCTGCTGCTGGTGGTGGCCTAAGGGGTGGTGGTCCTTGACTTTGGAGCCTACGAGAGGAAGGAAAAGCTAATATGTCAGATCCTGGAGGAAAGGGTAGAGTAGGCAGGGACACCCGGTTCCAATCCCCATTCCCAAAAGTTAAATTTATGAAGACCACACTTTGATGGGTGTGTAAGGGACAAATATACTTTCTCCCTCCACCCACAGACCAGTAGCCCATTTCCCACCTGTGGGGGACACTTTGGAAGACATGCTATTAAGGCTAGTCAGTCTGTGGCTAGTAGTCTCCATGGCAACCAGAAACTAGGTACTGCCTCTTAAAGGGCAACCAACCCACTTTACTGAACCTAGATTTGTCAGGCTCTGGGGCTCAGCCCAAGCTTGGGAGGTTGTCCAGCAGAGGGAGCCTTTGACATTCTTAAGAGGCTGGGGGAAAGCAGGTTATTACAACTTCCTTGGGAATTAATGAACTAAGGGGGCTGGAGAGGTGGTTCACCTGTTGAAAGCACTGGCTGCTTTTTTAGAGGAGCTGGGATTGAATCCCAGCACCCACAAGATGGCTCACAACTGTCTCCAGTTCTGTAGGATCCAACACCCACTTCTGGACTCTGAGGATATCAGAGACATACATGGTATACACACATACATCCAACAAAACACCCAAATATATAAAATATAATAATAATACAAAGAAATAGTGGACTAAGCCAGGAGTAGTGACTTGTGCCTATAATCCTGGCACTCACATCTCCTAGGCTGGAAGATCAGGAGTTTAAAGCCAGACTTAGGCTCACACACGGAATCCACTTTAAGGTTGGACAATTGCCTTTGTGAGCTATATTCCCAATATGGTTAACCTCTGACTTCCAATGTCTCAGCCTCCCATTCATTGCCTTTATGCTGGTGAGAAAACCATGCACATTCAGTAGAAACTATTTCTAGTTCTGGGGTTCACCAAGGCTGTTCATCTTCTTTTCTGCAAGCTACAACTTGCAGCCAGCCAGAATAGCCTATGCTCTGCAGAGGTCTCTGTGGCTCATCTATGGACTTGGATGCCTTGTCATCTTACTGGATGAGTGTCATCATCGAGGTCACTGGTACCTAACCCTTCAGAGGCAGAAGGACATTCACACATGTAGGCAGAATGATGATTGCGCTGAGGGGCGTAGCAAATTCTTTTTGGTTTTTCAAGACTTCTCTGTGTAGCCCTGGCTATCTTGGAACTCACTCTGTAGACCATGCTGGTCTTGAATGTATGCCACCACTGCCCAGCCTTATAGCAAATGGTTAAACCACACCTGTCCTTAGCCATATACACTTTTAGTGGCCTTTGTGGACATTATATTATTTGTCAGGCTAGCCTGGCCTATAGTACTTTCTTTGTTTTGTTGTTTTGAGACAGGGTCTTACGTAGCCCAGGCTGGCTTCAAACCTAATGAAATGGAGAATGACTTTAAGTTTCTGATCTACCTGTCTCTTTCTCCAGAGTCCTACGATTATAGGCAGGCATGGGGCACCATTCCCAGTCTATGAGGTGCTGGGATATCAAGCCTAGGGCATCATGCATGCTAAGCACAAACTCTACAAACTAAGCTGCATCTTAGCCCCTGAAGTATATCTTTGAAAAAAAAAATTTTTTTTTTTGGAGACAATGTTTCTCTATGTAGCTCTGGGTGTCCTGAAACTCACTCTGTAGACCAGGCTGGCCTTCAGTTCACAGAGATCTGCCTCAGCCTCCTGAGGGCTGAGATTAAAGGTATATGTCACTACATTGGGCTTTTTTTTTTTTTTTTAAGATAAAAAAAGTTCTTACTATGTAGCTCAGGCTGTCCCAGAGCTTGTCATTATCCTGGCTCTGCCTTCCAAGTTTTGGGCTTACAGGTGTGCACTACCATGCCTAGCTGATGTGCTTTATTATTACCTCATATGGAAGTAATACGTGGGTTTTATGGAGATGAAAACTAAGGCAAAGAGAGGCTAACTGGCTTCCAGACATCACAGAGCTAATCCTTGACAGCCAAGACTTGACCCAGAGGCAGTCAGACTGAGTGTGTGCATTCAGGCAGCAGCTGGGCAGGATGGTGCTGGGTTGTCATTCTAGCACTTGGGAGGTCTGGGCACGAAAATCAGACACCCAGGTCATCCTCAGCTACACATTGAGTTTGAGGACAGTGGACTACAACATACATCAGACTCTGTCTCAAAAATGAAAATAAAGCCAGGAAGTGGTGGTAAACACCTTTAATCCCAACACTCAGAGGCAGAGGCAGGGGGATCTCTTTGAGTTTGAGGCCAGTCTGGTCTACAAAGTGAGTTCCAGGACAGCCAGGGCTACAGAGAGACCCTGATTTTTTTTTTTTCTTCCCCAGACAGGGTTTCTCTGTATAGCCCTGGCTGTCCTGGAACTCATTCTGTAGACCAGGCTGTCCTGGAACTCAGAAATTTACCTGCCTTTGTCTCCCAAATGCTGGGATTAAAGGCGTGTGCCACCACTGACCGGCCAGGGACCCTGTCTTGAAGAGGAAGAAGGGGGGGGGGGGGGGGGGGGGGGGGGCGGCGGCGGCGGTGGAGGAGGAGGAGGAGGAGGAGGAGGAGAAGGAGAAGAAGAAGGCGGCTGGAGAGATGGCTCAGCGGTTAAGAGCACTGACTGCTCTTCCAGAGGTCCTGAGTTCAATTCCCAGCAACCACATGGTGGCTCACCACCATCTGTAATGAGATCTGATGCCTTCTTCTGGTATGCACGAAGACAGTGACAGACACTGTACTCATAAATAAAATAAAATCTTTAAAAGGGGAAAAAAAAAAGAATTGAGCAACAAGGAAGCAATAGGTGGTAGATGAATGGGTGATGCCGTCTGGTGTAACAGCACCTGAAGTGATTACAGACTCAGAGAAGGAGTGGCTGCAGGACTCATACAATTGATGTGTATTCGTGCTGTGGCCACTTGATCACCATTTGGGCATGTTGGAGGTGATGTTATGTCCAATACAAACAGTTCAATATGACAGCCAGGACCTCAGAAAAAATTCTTGACATGAGCTAACCTTAGACACTGAAAGGTTATTCCAACTCCTTCTCATCCCAGTTAGGATGCTGCTCCTCCATGTTGCATTTTCTAATTTATGACATTTGTTGTATCTGTTTGTGTAGAGGGAGGGGGTGCATGACACTGCATGGATCTGGAACTCAGAGGACTTCTGGGAGTCAAATCTCTCTATGTGAGTCCTGGGTTGTCAGGCTTGGTGGCAGGTGTTGAAAAGATTTATTGCGCTTAGCTTGGAACAGATAACAGCAGACCAGACGGTTCCACGAGGGGGAGTTTATTCAGGGTGGAGGGAAGAGAGCAAGAGGAGAGAGAGAGAGCAGAGAGGTAGAGGAGTAGAGGCGGCCACGACCACGTGGAGAGAGGGGGAAGGGGAGGGGGAGGGGAGAGGGCAACCTGCAGGCGCTGGGTCGAGAGGCCAAGAGTAAGAGCAAGAGAGAGAGGAGGGGGCAAGCAGCCCCTTTTATAGTGGGCAGGCCTACCTGGCTATTGCCAGGTAACTGTGGGGAGGAGCGTACCTGGCTGCTGTCAGGTAACTGTGGAGGTGGAGTTTAACAGAATACTAACAGGTGTCCTTACCAAAGGAGCCATTTTGCTCGTCATTTTGTTTTCTTCAAGACAAGGTTTCTCTATGTGGCCCTGACAGACGCTAGCCATTTTTTTTTAAAGATTTATTTATTTTTATATGCATTGGTGTTCTGCGTGCATGTCTGTGTGAAGGTGTCAGATCCCCTGGAACTGGAGTTACAGACAGTTGTGAGCTGCCATGTTCGTGCTGGGAATTGAACTTGAGTACTCTGGAAGAGCAGCCAGTACTCTTTTTTTTTTTTTTTTTCTCGAGACACGGTTTCTCTGTGTAGCCCTGGCTGTCCTGGAACTCACTCTGTAGACCAGGCTAGCCTCGAACTCTCAAACTCAGAAATCCGCCTGCCTCTGCCTCCCAAGTGCTGGGATTAAAGGTGTGTGCCACCACTGCCTGGCAGCGACTACTCCTTTATTTTTTTTTAATTTTTTTTATTTTTTTTATTTTTATTTTTATTTTTTTGGTTTTTCGAGACAGGGTTTCTCTGTGTAGCCCTGGCTGTCCTGGAACTTACTCTGTAGACCAGGCTGGCCTCGAACTCAGAAATCTGCCTGCCTCTGCCTCCCAAGTGCTGGGATTAAAGGTGTGTGCCACCACTGCCCAGCATAACCCCAGTGTTTTAAGAGTGTTTTAAGGTTTACTTGTTTTATTGTTATTCTGCATATGGGTGTTTTGCTTGCATGTATATCTGTACACTATGCATGACTTGTGCCTGTGGAAGCCAGAAGAGGGCACTGGATCTCTGGAACTGGATTTACAGGTGGTTGTGAGCCATGTGGGTGCTGGACACTGAACTGAATCCTCTGCAAGATCAGCTGGTGCTTCTCAACACTGAACCACCTCTCTAGCTTGTTTGGTTTTGGGTTTTTGTTTGTTTGTTTGTTTGTTGTTTTGTGGTTTGCATTCCCCATTATTGTGAGGCCCTCCCTGAGCCAGTGTGAATATATACTGGAGCAAGATGACAAGCTGGATGCAAGTTGGGCTCATAGCAAGCTTCTTGTCTTGGTACCACTATCATCCCCATTGACAGATGACAAACCCAGGTTCAGAAAAGTTAAGTCACCTGCCCATAAATGGGAAATGTGGACTCCAACCTACCCAGGGCTCCAGAGACCTTGTTCTTTGTTGTTCTTTGTTTTGTTTGTTTGTTTGTTTGTTTGTTTGAGACACAGCCTCAATATATAGTTCTATCTAGCTTGAAACTTGCTATGTAGACAAGTCTGGCCTCAAAATCACAGAGATACCTCTGCCTCTGCCCCCTAAGTGTTGAGATTATGTGTTAGAGATTGGTTCTAATGCTTTGACCCTACCCGGAATCTGTGTGTCCAAAGCTAAAGGTCCTTGTCCCCAATAATGATCGATCAATAAAGATGCCAGAGGCTAATGGCTGGGCAAAGGGAGATGGAAGGGGAGCTGGAAGCATGACCCTACATCTGGTGTGCAACGTGGTAGGCAAGAATCCACTATTAAAAATAATTTAGGTATTCTGGGATAGAAGACACACATGCAAATGATTTAAGTCTAGGAGGGGGAGGACTGGTTTCTCATCAAGTGGAGCTGAGTCAAGAGGTTTCCACCCAGGAAACTAGAACAAAGGACCGCAGCTGCCAGAGCGCACCTCAACTCAGAGATGCTGGGAACTCCTGCTGTGCAAAGAGGCTGGCTGGGTCCCTGACTGGGTGCTAGGAGGGAGGCAACAGGAAGCAGACAATAAAAGCTGCCTGTCCCCAGCCGGCACATAATCAAAGAATAAAAATTTATAAATTTGATTTAATTGGCTTTAAGGATAGGAGAGTGTATAATGGTAATTGTTTAAATGTTCTTAAATATATTTTAAAGAAATTTAATAGTCCTGCCAGGGTCAATTTTCAAGTAGGTCCACATGGGATTTCTGGAATTGCCTAGACTAGCATGACAGAAATAGAGCCTGGAAATAGGTTATACAATAAGTAGAAGGGAATTTAATTAAAGTTAAATACAAAGATGTAGAACATTGAGGCTTTCAATTCTTAAATTATAGATCAAAAATTAGGAGATTTCTCTTATTTTAAGAAGTATCTTTGCGCCGGGCGGTGGTGGCGCACGCCTTTAATCCCAGCACTTGGGAGGCAGAGGCAGGTGGATTTCTGAGTTCGAGGCCAGCCTGGTCTACAGAGTGAGTTCCAGGACAGCCAGGGCTACACAGAGAAACCCTGTCTCGAAAAACCAAAAAAAAAAAAAAAAGAAGTATCTTTGCTGGGCAGTGGTGGCGCATGCCTTTAATCTCAGCACTTGGGAGGCAGAGGCAGGACGATCTCTGAATTCGAGACCAGCCTGGTCTACAGAACAAGTTCCAGGACAGCCAGGGCTACACAGAGAAACTCTGTCTCGAAAAACAAAACAAAACAAAACCAAAAACAAAACAAACAAAAACAAACCAACCAAAAACCAAAAAACCAGAGTAAAACAAAACAAAAGAGACAAGCTGGAGCAGAGGCTCTGTTCCTAGAGTCCTCATTGCTGGGATGTGGCTAGTGGTATCCTGTGTGTCTCAGGCTGAGGGAGAGACCCGAGGTACCCACACTGCCCTGAATCCAAAGCACATGGGCTCTAGAAGGAAGATGTGGAGGGCATTTTTTTCTGGGTTGTTCTGATGCTTTTGGGCCTTTCCTGATAGGCTGTCCAGAGCTCTTCCATGAAGCACCCTGAGTTACCGGATCCAGAATGGAGTCGGGAAACAGCAGATTCTCTGCTGCTGTTACCCATGGGGCAGCATAGATAAGACATTGAGAGCTCAGACCTTGGTTAAATCATTCATTCAACATTTATTGAGCGCCTACTGTGTGCCAGGCACCGTGCTAGGCGCAGAAATACAGAGATGCATAAGATACAGTCCATGCCCTTAAGGATTCACAGTCTAGAAGGGGAGACAAACATGTAAACAAGTAAAATACGGTGTGATAGGTGCCACGAGAAGCATTTACAAGGTGCAGAGGTAGCCCAGAAGAGAGGGGTGAAGGGTACCTGCCTGGGGGAGGGGCCTGGGAGAGGCTAATAGATGTTTGCCAGGCAGAGGAGGCGGGAAGAGCGGGAAGGCATTCCAGCTGAAGAAACCGCATGAGCGAAAGGCACAAAGGCATGAAACTGCGAGTGTCTTGGGGCCAGGAAGGCTAACTAGTCCAGTGGTATTGCTAGAGTGAGTTCCAAAGGCTGGGTCTGGAGAGGGCAGCCGAAGCCAGATGAGAGGGGAAACTGAGGCAGGGGCATCTCAGAGGAACAACAGAGGGCACTGCACAGCCCTGTGGAAGGCTCTGACACAGAAAGATGTGGCTCCTGGCTAACCCAAGGTGTATCTGCTAAACGACCATAGTGCTCCTGTGGCCACAAAGGGCCCTTGACCTGAGACCAGAGGACAAGCAGATCTGAGGGGGATGAGCAGTCGGGTATACCCAGGCCTGAGGTCCTGGAAGCTGCCACTCACTGGAGCTTCCTGCTCCCAGACCTCTGCTTTCTGCACACTGCCAGCAAGGGAGCACGGGACCCAGTGGGAAATGATGAGGGAATGAAGGTTTTTGGCAAACTGCAAAGAGCCAGATGAGTACCAGGGCTGTTAGAAGGGTCAGCCTTTAATGACTCAGAGAGGAAAGGGGTTGAGGATAAAGCAAGAGAGGTTAAGTAAGACAGCAGGCAGGCAGGGATTCCTAAGAACAAGGGCAGAAAGGAGAAACAGATCTCTGAGGCAGACCACAGTTCACTCTCCCCTGGGAAGGCAGGCCCTTATGACCCAGGACAGGGGCAGAAGCCAGTGGCAGACCCAGAACAGATGTGCGGTGTGAGGCTCTGTATCCCAGCATCCTGTGACTCCCTGACCTGAAGCAGAGGATTCCTTGGCAATCAGGAACCTTTGTCTCTGGCCATCAGGATATCCACTGAGGCAGGGACTGGCCAGAGCCAGGCTTCCAGCCCTTGGGTATTCTTAGGAACGACTCTGACTGGCAATGTCTTAGCAAGGTGGGTAGGGTGGAGTTTAGAGTCTCAGTCACCCAGAGTTTGGCTGCCCCTGTTGAAGACCACCTTCTCAGGCACCACACTTTAGATCATTTTGTGGGGTAAGCTTATTTGACAACCCTGCATAGGGGAAGGTGGAAGACAGACTAGCCTGGTCAGGACTCTGTTCTCCTGGGTTCTAGGGCTCTAGTGCGTAGTGTGGCCTTTGGAGCAGGAGCCAACAGCAGCCTTCATGATCTGGCTATTGGTCCACGAGTGGGGGAAGGGAGGCAGAACCCCCAAGGTAGCAAAGTCTGGAGATGTTCCAGGTGCTTCCTTCCTTTTACCCTTAACATCGTCTGTACTGTGTGGGGTCTGAGCCTCCCACTGCTTTCTCTTCTAGGTCCCACTGCCTGGGCTCTGCCCTCCCTGGCCAGTCTGGAGGATTAGTGCTGCCTAGGGCACCAATGGTGGTGGTGGTGGTGGTATTAGTGATGAAGAAGATGGTGAGGTGTGGGCGGTGGGCGGCCTCCCCTCTGCAGGGGAAGCCTGGACTGGGGTGGGCTAGGGTTATTCACTTGCTCTTATGCATGTCCTTCAGCCGGCGCAGCTCCTCCAGGAGCTGAGCCCGGGAACAGCCATCATCGCTGGTGGGGCCTGGCCCTGGCCCCAGAGCCTCCTGTAGTGCCAGGCAATGGGTTCTCAGGAATGGGTTGTAGGCTCGCTCCTCTCCCAAGGTGGATGGGCACTGCAGAACAAGAGGCACAGAGATGGGTGGATAGAAGCTGGAAGGGCACCAATACAGGGATGTCTGCCCTAGCTCCTAAACTCCAGGGGTCAGAGGTCAGAGCTCTGAAAAGTGCATGCTGGCCCAGGCTGGGCAGTGACCACACTGGCTGGAGGAGGGCCAGGTTTCCCACCCCACCCCACCTCACTCAATCCCATCCTACCCCATCCTTTTTCATCCCACCCCATCCTTTTTCATCCCACCCCACCCATTCCCCAGGCCTCACTGTGCTCTTGCGTTCCATCCGTTGCCTCT